GAGCAGAATGTTCTGAAAAGTTCCCTCAAACTGAAAACGTACAGCTGCACCCTGGCCTGCAAAGCCAAGAAATGCAGGCATCTGAAGGGGATGGAATGGCTTCAGAAAGATTTTCTGGTTGCAGGGCATTATTGCTTTGGAAAATCACAGAATCACAGACTGATGGCCAGGGTTGGAAGGGACATCAAGGATCATGAATCTCCAACCCCCTGCCACACGCAGGGCCACCAACCTCCACATTTAATATCAGACCAGGCTGCCCAGGGCCCCATCCAATCTGGCATTGAACACCTCCAGGGATGGGGCATCCACAACCTCTCTGGACAGCTGTTCCAGCACATCACAATGCTCTCTGTAAAGAACTTCCAACCTAAATCCAACCTAAATCTTCCCTCCCTCAACTTAAAACGATTTCCCCTTGTCCTGCTGTTAATATAAAATAAAATATAAAATAAATGTCCTTCCTTCCAGGAATTCTGTAGTAATGGTCTGAAGCAGCAGACTGGTGGATTCTGTGCAGTACACATCACAGACTGGAAGAATAATGAATTGATTTGCAAAGGTTTTTAAGAACAGGTCAATTGTATAGGAGTGATAAGAAGGAAAAAAGTATGGGGTTTTCTTCCCAGTTCTTTTTTTTCTTCCTATCCGTACTGTTTTTGTTTTCATTTCCATTTAAAGTTTTTTTTTTTTCTTTTTCAAATTTGTGCTATTAAAAATGCCTTTGATAAACAAACCAATATTAAATTCTTTTTTCTCTTTTCTCTTTCCAGTTTTGGTACGTAAGAGTTTTATGTGTTCCACAAGTTCATCTTTCACATGGCTCATCATTAGAAAAACACTCAAAGGTAATAAAAATAAAAAGCAAAGGCATTCTTGATTTTCATAAAAAATACCCCAAGGAGTAAAAGAGCAGAACAAATCCCTGCAATACACACACAGCCAGGCTCTTCTGTAGCTTTTTTTTTTTCCAGAAGCACCAGCTGTTTTTTGCATACCAGCATAAGGGACACATTTGCAGATGCAGTTTATGGGAGTTTTGTTTATGCACTGGGTGGGGGTTAACAGTTAATTTTAATTAATATGGCAACACCAAATTCAAAGAAGATGGGAAAACTGTAAATCTCCTAAGACCACTACTGCTGGCTGTGCCTGTGGATGCAGAAAAGGTCTGCATAGAATTTTCCACATCAACATTTTTACTGAGTTTTACATGCTGTAATCATTTCTCCTTCCTTATTTCACAAGAAACCTCCTGATTTAGCAGGTCTTTATTTACACTCTTGTGTAATTCCAGTCTTTAGTGTCTCTTCATAGCATTTCTGTGAATCAGAGAAATACCACTGCTGTCATTTCAAGTGACAGCTCATCAAGAAGAGCCTGTGACAGGGCAGGCACCTGACCGCACAGGTCTGTTTTATGAGCAGCTGGCACCTGGGCAAAGCCAACGACATGGACACAAAAAGAATGGCACACTCATTCATGGAAACAAGCAAATGAATAGCAGGCAACTTGGATTCAAAATTAAATCATGTCAAAGCAATCTAAGTTTCCCCCGTGATAAATAATAAGCCTTGTGTAGACATGAAGCAGTGAATGTCACACTTCTTGGCGAAGGCAGTGCTGCTGGCAGTGTCAGCGCTCTTGCAGTGAAGCTGGGGAAACGAAGCCTCTGACCTGAGGAACTGCTCAGAGAATGGTCAGAAAATGGTTCTGACCAAATGAAAGGTGAGGGCAGGCTTTTGACTGTGATCAGTCTTGGGCCTGAAGTTCAGTAGATCTGCTCTGTGAATTTAACTTAGCTGACGATTCAGTAAAAACATTAGCAAAAATTTTCTAACGAGGACAGTTGAGCACTGGAGAAACTGCAGTGATCAGTGGCGACTCGTTGTTACAGTTTCCCAAGCACAAGTTCAACATTTCTTTTAGGGAAAAGAGGGCGAATTCAGTGATGAGGTCCCACTTGGCCGATGCTGTACAACCGCATGTTTTAGTGGTGAAACATTTGACTGCTCCTTTCCATCCTGTTTGCACCTTCCACTGAAAGCCACTGACTGTCAGGTCACAGCCAGATCCGGCATAGAAACCAATGAATAAGAGCAAAGCTGTCCTAGGAGAAGACTCTTCTTACTGGGTTGATTTTTTGGTTGGGTTGGTTGGCCTTGTTTATTTGTTTGTTTGTTTCTGGTGTTTTTTGTTTGTTTGTCTTTGTCATTGGCTTTCCTGTTCTTTCCCAGACTCAGCAGAAAGCCAAAAGAATGTGCTTGGGATGGAGGATGAGAAGATTGGGGTGATTTTACAGTTTGGTTCCTGACTGGGAATGCAAAACTGGGCTCTTGATCTACTCCATATCCAATATGGGAGCAGTGTGACAGACACACCCAGTGGCTGCCATTAATGCAGGGCACACACAGCCCCAGAGCTCACAAATTCAGCCCAGTGTATGTCCTGCTGAGAAATTCTTTCTGCCATGCAGAAGTAACAACCCAGACTGAGCCAAGTAAATAACACTAAGCTGAGCTAATTAGTTTAATGAGCTAATATGAAGTAGCTACATCAGAGTCTCACTTTGATGCTAATTCCCTCATGTACAGAGTCCTTTTATGTCCCAGGCTGCTGTTCAAACCACTGGACCAATTTGCCAGCCTCTGTTAATTTAAGTCTGTTATTAATGAATGAGAAAGTGCATGGATCTGGTTGCAAGAGAAGGATATTTGCTTTATTTCATCCTATCATAGCTTTTCCCTCTAGGTTTGTCTCGCTGAAAGGGAAGTCTCACTACCAGAGAAGGACATAAATAGTACAAAGTTTTTTTCTGGAGCTCAGCTGCTGTACACAGTCCCTTTAGGCTCTGTAGAGTTTTAATGCTTTCTGGTAAAAGCATTGACTTCAGGTCTTCTAAACAAAACTCACCAAGATGCTTCCAGCCTGTCCCTGTATCTTCATAGCAGGAGCCCTTTAGCTTGTTTGTCTCTCTCCTGCCTTTTTTTAACTTAAATGTTCAGTTTACTTTTCTAAAGTGACTCCTATCTACTACTGAGTGCCCTTCTTCTACCTCACTCTTAACACTAGCATTACGGGGCTTTTTTGTTTCTTTTCAAATTTCCTTTCCTTTTCTTTTGCTATTCTTCTTGCTGAATATAGATTTTTCTGCTTCAGCTATCGGTCTTACCTTTCTTACTGAGACAAATGTCTGTTACTGGGATCTGTACATCTTTTGTGTGGTCACAAGTCTGCGTATTATCTTTTGATAACGTAACTACACATCTGAAGCCTTCTTTAAGAATGATTCCACGGCTTTTTGATACCTGCTGTAGAAAGGAGCACCTGTGAGCCCACCGTTAGCCAGAAAAGAGCCTTTGAAATAGTACTTTCTACTATTTATCATTTAACAAGTTTAATAAGCTGTATTTTATCAAATATCACTGTATCTTTTTCAAATGGTTTTTGAGAATGTCTCACCATTTTTGTTTCCTAGATTCCAGATAACGTGAAAACGTTGCAGTTTTCTCTGGAATCATCCCATAGCAAATCCCAAATCACCGTTTTCTGTAGACGCGGTGTAGTGTTTTCATGATTACACTATTTACTTTTCACAAGCAGAGTGCTGACGACACCAGAAGGGGTATCTAGAGGAAACACCAGCATAATACAAGACTTAGGATTTAAAATACATGAATTATCCCTGTTATTAAACTGAGGTGTTCAGTGCTACATCGAATTCGGTGTGACTGGGGGCTCATGCCCACAGAGATGCTCTGGCCCAGAAAAGCACAATCATCTCATCTGGGCTACACAACTGCACCACACAACTACTGCTATGACATAAGGCAAAGTAAAGACTGATCCTTTGCTGAAAACACTATCAGTAACAAAATCTTTAGCTAAATTAAGCTTTATTAATTGATGGATTGACTTTCCAATGTGGTAAAGGAAATGTAATTACAACGTGGACAGAACATGAGCAACTATTCAACTACTGAAAGGTACTCTAGAAGGACAACCCTTATTTATGAGTGAACACACAGCTGCTTGTTCCTAGATGGAAACCCGGACAGAACGTTGGTGGCCAGAAGCAGAGTTAAATATATTAAAAATTGGTTTTAAAAATATGAGTAACAGATTGTAATATTGAAATAGCTGTACACACGTATTGACTGCTTTCCTGCTGCCAGTGCCAGCCCTCGTGTTTCCGCCCAGCGCATTTGACGAGACCACATTAACATCACGGCACAAAATTAACCACATCATTTTCACACCAGAACTTGTGAACTATTCAGGGCAGCAACGGGGGAAGCCTGAAGGTTATTTATTAACGCAACAGGGCCTCGAATCCGCGGTTTCTAACTGCTACATCAGAGCCAATACAAGCAGACTGACGTGATTTCAAGCGTCCGCCACACCACGCAGCCCTCGGCAGGCTGCGTGCCGTCGAGCTTCCCACCCTCGGGGCCGCGGCGTCCCTGCAGACACGGCCGGGCCGCACGATGCCGGCAGCGCTGCTTCGCGCCGCGGCTGGGCACAAAGGCACGGCGTGATGTTGACGCGGCGCCGGTGGGCGCGCGGGCATTGTGCGGCGCCCGGCCACGTGCCGCACGCGTGGGCTCTCAGCTGTACGCGTACTGATCTCAAGCTACGAAAAGTTTATTTCTTCATCGTCGCGATGCTCGCGTAATCGAAATCCTGCTCCTTTTCTATCTTCTCGATTTTACGGGACACACCTCCCCTCCTGCCCAACAGTAAAAGGCTGCAAAGTGCGGCCAATGCTGTTCAGCCACCATTCGGCACTCGCCGCCCCTCCACCGGCCGCTCGCGGCGCCCACCGCTGCCGCTCGGGGCGGGATGCCGGCAGGCGCGGGGCGCGGAGGGTCTGAGGGCGGCGGCGCCCCCCCCGGACCGGGGGGCGGGGGCGAGCACCGTCCCGGCCGGCGCTGATCTCACGCTCCCATTGGCCGCTGTCTGCGCTGACGTCACGATCATGATGAGAATTAATGATCGGAGGCGCTGATTTCATTGTGTGACGCCGGGACCGACCCAGCCGAAACCGGCTGAATCCGGAGCCCCGAGCCCCCCAGACCGGCCCCGCGCAGCACGGTAAGCGGGGCCGGGCGGCGGCCGGGTCCCGGAGCCAAG